TACCACTACTACTACTACAACAACTACTACTACTACTGCTACTACTACTACCACTACTACTACTACTACTACTACTACTACTACAACTGCAACACACATAAAATCATATATCTATGAATTAACATTATAGTTCTAGACAGCTCATAAAACCTAAATAATGTGAACTGAATAGATGGCTTAAGCATACATAACTTCCTTATGATTCAAATAGACAAAATTACGCTCAATAAAGTTCCCACATCTGCTGGGTTCAATTTCGTATGTTGTTTTTATTTCTTAGTTTCTCCCCGAGTTTATTGTGAAAATATTTAACATTAGAGGCACCTCGAGGCGCCAAATTTCCAAAAAAATTATTTTCGCGATAGGCGGAAATTTTTTTGCATTCAAACCCGGCCGCCGACTTAACCATTACACTATCTTGTATCATATTGTATCGTATTACGTATCAAATCACAGAAATCGTAAGATCAGATAACAATCACATCATATCGTTTTGTGTCCAATAACATCACATCGTTTCGTTTCGAATCAAACCACACCACATTTCAATTTTTCGTTAGCCACAACTAACCACAGCTTCTTTCTCTTCCTCATGAGATAAACACCAACAGCCAGGCCTACAATCAGCAGTAGAATCAATGGAACGCCAAGACCAGCACCCAAGCCAGTCTTTTGACTTTCACTCAAACCATTATTTGAGAAGTTATCATTTGACGATGGTTGATATTGTGTGGTGTTGCTTGTGGGTACTGATGGTAATGTTTTTTCAGTAGGTAGACCAACTGTGATGAAATAATTTCGTATATCTTAAAATCAAAATTTTTTTTAAAATCACTACTAATACCTGGAATGTATGCAGTTGTCGGATTGGTGCTCTTCTTATTTTTATTCTCTGTTACAGACAGAAATTAGGGATTGACGTCCATTTATTATAAATAAAAATAATAAATAACTGGTTTAAAGAGAAAACATTTCAGAGAAATTCAAAATGCAACTCACCTTCCATGCAGATTATGGAGTAAGCTCTGGAACTGCATTCGACACATCTCATGGAGTTTTCTGTTCCACTGGAATTCAACTCTACACACACGCTATTATTGTTTGTTGCAGTTTGTTCAAAATCGTTCGCCCAATTGAAATAATTCAACGGAGTTTCTGTTGAGATTGTGATATCTTATATTATAGGATTAACATTAAAGTTTGTCTAATTTTTATGTCATGTTGAAATAAAGAGCAATTCAAGGTAACAAAAGATAAAAGATATATTTTGGATGATGTAGAAAAATATGTCTCAGTCTTTTATACAATTCGGTAAATAACGATAGTGTTTCGAAATGACTGAACTAAACTGTCTTTTTTTATTTCATATTCAGCTAGCGAACCAATAGTGAGCCAATTAAATTTTATATCTTTAAAAAGGTTTCAGTTAATTAAAGTATCTTGTATCGGAAAAACGGTCATAAACTTAATTCACGATTGTTCATATGAAGGGATTTAAACTCCCATTAAATACCACTAACCAGTGCTTTGCCAAACTAGTAATGTTCTTGTCAATCCAACCCAAAACTTTTCCTCCCGCAAAGACGTTCGAACCCACATTTGATTGACGTTCTGGATATCCAACTTATCTAGAACCGCCAAGCCTCCGCCTAGCTTGGTGCATTGGTAATGTCCATTGTACCATGTGTATTGCCCATTTATCGGAAAATAACAAGTTGTTCCATTTTGCCAGCTGTTTAAAGCCGTGCAATTAGAAGCATCTGGTTGGTTAGATGTTACAACTTTTGTGTGAAAGGAAACCCAAAAGTATGTATAACTAAATTAAATCTCAATATCAATATTTACAAAATTTTTATTTCAACGAGTGAGGTAAAAAAATTAGCATCGAAGTTTCAAAAAAACTTAAAACTTACTTTTTATTGAGCAGAGGACACGAAGTTGAGACGTTGGTCTATCTGCCATATATCTCAATTTTTGTTGACTGTCGTTAGACAATGTTGTGTTAGAGATGTATGCCATGACAGTGGCTCCATCGTTGTTTTGGTTATCAACATTTTTAGGATCTTGAAAACGTGAACGTTAATTTAATATTATGAAGATAATTAATGATCGACACCGTTCAAATTACAATTTCAGTATCACAAAATATTGAAAATTTAAAATGATTTAACATGGTGTTTTGTTCATCCAAATCCATGCATCGTAAATTGTTTTGGTCCTCAAAAAAAATTGTTTCTGCTTCAGATTATTATCAGCAATGAACCGATCGACTAAATCTTTAACTTCTTCATCGTAAATCTCTAACAACCGTCCGTTTCGATTGTTATTTTGTGAGCACATGTTGAAATTTTTTGTTGACAAATCATAATATGTTGAAGTTGAATCACCAGCTAAATACAGGCAATATTTATCACTGCAGTTTGAACTTGCATAAGTGATAATACAATTCGCGAAATTTACCACAAAAACACATATTAAGTTTATTACTTTTGGCATTTTTTAAGCGTATGCCAAACACATTTTAGCATTCTCTACGACTTATTTAAAGATTAATTGTTTAAACTGTGTAAATTTCTTCCTATACAAACGCTAACAATTTATATGAAACTCCATAAGAGTTATTTTAAGAAGAAACAATACCAGTTCTAAAACCTCTTATGAATATAATTACTATATTTCTTCATTCATACCTACACATCTATATGTAGATAATAAATACAAATAAGCTCATATATGCCACATTACACACACACACGCACCACACACACACACACACACACACACACACACACACACACACACACACACACGCACACACACACACACACGCACACACACACACACACACACACACTCACACACTATCAACACGCTCAAAATACTATATGTTTGTATCATTGTATATATATATATATATATAATATATATAAATATATATATATATATATTTACCAATAGGTAAGAACAACATCACGTTGTCACAAGGTTTAAGAACCCACTCAGTCGCAAGAGGTATATATATCGAAAATCGAAAAAACGAACTACAAAACATATTAACGCTCCTCTGGGAATTAAAAAAATTAATAATTACTATAATTTATAACACATCAAACCTAAAAAAAACATAAAACACATGCTTTTTGATGAAAATTTTATGTAAATATGAACACTGTCCGAAACAGTAGCATAGTTGAATTATTCAATCAATATAAAGTTAACAATGCGTGCATTTCGTTTCGTTTCGTTTTTGTTCTTACTATTCGAGATCTTATTCTGGTCTGCTCAGGCCGGCAAATAAAATTATTTACTAACTCAGATGTTCAGATTTGGATTTCGAAAAACATCAAGAAAACGTTTGAAAAATCGGAAAAAAATTTTTATTACCAACAATTCTGTCAGGTAGGTAAGGATCAATCTCTACTTTAACAATGATTAATATTTCATCATAAAATCATTTAAAACTTAGTTAATAGTCCATCAAATGTTGAAATATTTTTAGGTTAATTATTAAATAATTAATTGATTCAACTGATTTAATCAAGTTAGTTAATTAATAAATAAATTAAAAAAAATAAATTAATAAATGGACAAAATTTCAGATTAATCGGGCAATGGCAAGTTGTCGAAAATTATGCTACAAGATTTGAACTATAGAAACAAATGAACGAACGACAAAACAAACGAATGAACAAACAAACAAACAAACAAACAAACAAACAAACCGACAGACAAACATGTAAAGTTAACATAAGCATGGGAAACATCAGAAGTTTTTCTTTCAAAATTTTAAAGATGGGGTGGCAGTTGGAGATGGGAGCTAGAGTCGCCAACCCCATCTTTGTTCAGATTGAGTGACGTGTATGTCGGGTTTGACGATTTTGGTTTGATTGGAGGTTTTGGTAGCTGGAAGCCCTGGTTGCTGCTGCTTTTGTGGCTGTTGTGATTTTCATGGAGGGATGCATATGTGTCCAGTACAGTTGTATACTCTTGGTTGGTTGAAATTCTTTCATTGCTCATCTGAATCGGCATTTTAAGAGATACAATTTCCCTATGAATTAAAAAATTATTTTAGTTAAAATTTACAAATATTAATTATAATAAAAATATATCTTTTTTCTTCTGATTTTGCTAAAATTTTATATCAATCAGAGCAGATGATTCAAAAACAATTTTATTAAAGTTATTCTTCCAAAAACAATTTTGTTAAAGTTATTCTTTCAAATTGAATTTTTTTTTAATTTTGTTAAATTAACTATAATTATATTGTACTCTAAAACTTACTTTGACAGTTTGCTGTTCTTCACGAGCAAAATAATGAGTATAATGATTGATGCCAGCAGTAAAAACGATGCTACTCCAAGGCTGATAGCCAAACCTTCGGCGTATCAACAGATTAATGACGTCATTCAGTGAGTTAATTGGTTAAAAAACGATGTTTTGTTAAAATTCAAAAAAGATAAAGATCAGTTATTAGCTGATATCATCAAAATACTTTTTAAAATCGCCGTTAAATGAAAAAAATAATTATTCATCAAACAATTTTAAGATAAATTTTAATGTTAATTTTAGGTATTACAATTACATTTTTTGGTAAATTCTAACAAAATTTCAGTTAAATAATTTTGGCACAAACCCCGAATTAGGATAGAGTTTGAAAAATTTGCTTCGGGGTCTTGGGAGTTAGGAATGGAGGAAGTAGTGGAAGTCACTGGGAAGACCACTGAGTTTGTCGTCGGAGCTGGAGTTGGCAGTGAGGGGGAAAAAACCTTGTTCTCTTGAGTATTAATTATTTATTTTAGTATTTTAAAAGATCAAACAGTTCATCACGCTCTTCTATCAAGAACACGCAAACAGTGTATATGAAAACGGAACGTGCCAAACAAGGCATCATACACAAAGCATGTGATAGGGAACCCGGTTACTGCATCCACAGAAGCAGGCTAATGTACCACCGGCTGTTCTATATCATTTAATGCAAACATTGAAAAACATTGTTAGATTTACTAGAAATTAAAGATAAATGAATGGATTTAATAAGAAGAATATTTCACTCAACCCTCCATGCAAATGATATTATAAATTCCACTGCAATTATTGTTGTAGATAGGGTTGTTTGGGAAATATGTTGATAAACAAATGCAAGGTCTATCTATTAAATCATATGGATATGATCCCAACCAATTGGTGTATGTGAAAGCAAGTCCTGTGTGTATTGTTTGAAAAATGCAAACGTTTTTTCAAATTATGTTTCTATCAAACAATGAAAACTAGGCTATAGCAAAACATAGCGTCTATAAAAATTGCAAGACTACGTAAAAATGGCCAACCTGATTTCTTCCAGGTGAGCAACGCTTTGGTCAGTCCAATCCAATAATGACCATTCTGCAGAGCTAGCTGAACCCACATTTGATTGACTTCATCAGCACTCAAATCATCCAAGACAGCCAAACTACCACCTAACCTCAGGCATTCGTAATGACCATCATACCACGTGTAATAGTAGTATCTAGAGAGAAGAGAATAACATGTGCCCCTGAGTGACCAACTATTCGTTTGTGTGCAGTTTCTGGAATCTTAGAAAATAAAATATTTTGAATTTAGTTGCATTTTAACACAGTTTGAAATTTATACTTTAGCTGTTCAACTAAATGTAAATGCATGCACAAATCTTCAAAAAACTTCATTTGAAATGTTTCATTCGCAATGAAAAACTTGCCTTTTATGGAACATAAAACTGACAACTTGAATCTTGAATCCAACTTAAAATATCTTAGCATTTTTTGGCTATCTTTGTTTGAAGTTGTGTTGCTTATATATAACTCGGTGGTAAAATTTTGGTCGTCGTAAATTTCAATTGATCCAAAGTCTGTAATTAGTTAAAAAGTTTAATTTATTTTAAAAGCATTCTATGATATAAAGTAAAATTTTGAAAATTAAAGTGTTATCGATTCTGAATTATAAAAATTACATAATACTTCTATAAACAAAATGACTGACACGAAGCTTTATTAATCCACATCATGACGTTTGGAAGCATTTTTGTTCCTAGAAAAAAATATTTATTTTCTAAACTATTATTCCTAACAAACTGATCAACCAGTGTTTGAACTTCCTCATCATAAATTTCCAACATCCAACCATTACGTTTGCCATTTTGAGAGCAGTAACTGTCTCTTATGCTTCCGTAATAATAATATAAACTATCTAAGATGTACAAGCAGTATTTGTCGCTACAATTTAAATTAGCCGCCGTGGTCAGATTTAGAAAAAGACTGAACAACGCACAGATAATCAATTTGTTCATTTTGAGTTTTTTTTCTGAAATTTACCAATGACCTGAAAAACGTTTTGTAATCAGGTTGCAGATATTGAAATATACACTACAATCAGATTAAATCCAAATATTAATTGATCTGATATTTGATTTGATTTGAAATATACACTCAAATTAATAAAAAGTTGGATGAATTTGTTACTTGAAGTAACGAATTATAACAAATTAATTACTATATACAGTTACGCACGTTAGTATTTCTTTTGTTGCATTCTGATTAAAATTTAATCAACACTTCCTACTTTAAAAGTCACAATGGATAGCTATATGACAACAACAAGACACACGCACCCACACTCCCAAACAACACACAGATTATTATCATTAACAGAAATCACTGCCTTTTCTGTATTGTTAGACTTGCTACAGTTTAATTAATTGATGTTGTTCTTAAGTAAAATTATGTTCCCATCGCTTAAAAAAGAATCTGTAATTAACTCTTGACAAATTAAATACTACAAAAAACACATTTATACAAAATAAACTTTTATCAAATAATATATATATGTATATATATATATATATATATATATATATATATACTATACATACTATACATACATATTTATATAGTTATTAAGAAATATCACTGCCTTTTTCACATTGTTGAGTTTGTACGAGTTAGTTACAAACACAACAATGCGAAAAATGCAGTGATAGTTCTTAATAATTATATATATATATATATATAATGTATATATGTATAAATATATAATGTATATATAAATATATATACATATATATATTCATTCAGTCGATGAATCTAATAATCTAATATAAAGTTTACCCCATTACAATTAGGAAAATTTTTTAGTGATAAGATTAAAAAAGTTGGAGAACATACAAACTCCTTGCTTAAGCTTCCCAGGTTTGTCGGACTCGCTTTGTTCTCTTTATCCCATGTTCTGGTGATGAAATTAAAGAAGTTGTGCTCAATTCACCATTGAGGACATTTTTCCATGTGCCTATTTTCAAACAATATATAGATTTGTTCATACTGTTTCTCACATTTAACACTGGTTATTTTCCTAAGGCGTTCAAACATGCCGTTGTGACTCCCTTATTATAAAAAGCCATCTCTTGATAAGGATGATAATGCAAATTATCGCCAGATTTCCAACCTCTTGTTTTTATCAAAAGTCGTTGAACGTTTAGTTCTAAATTAGTTTTTTAATCATTTGAATGTGCATGGTTTAATTCCAATCCGTCAGTCAGGTTACAGGCAGTATCACTCGACTGAAACTGCTCTGATCGATATTTCTTCTGAATTGTTTGCATCTATGGATTCACAAAATGTTCCACTTTTGGCTTTGTTGGATATGAGTGCTGCGTTTGACTAACAATCACTCCTTGTTCATAAACTTAAATGTCGTTTTGGTGTTGCCGGTGCGGTTGCTTCATGGTTCGAGTCCCATTTGATTGGTAGGAGGCAACAGGTATGTTTCAATGATTTTCTGTCCAATTTCGAAGTTGTTATTTCCAGACGGCCCCGAGGTTCTGTTTCAAATCAAGTGATTAATCGTCTTCAGTCAATTCAAATTCGTGCTGCTAAGATCGTTTTCGGAGGGTTAAAATACGACTATGTCATTAATACTCTACGAGATCTCCATTGGCTCACAATTGAAAAAAGAATCATCTTCAAGCTTGCCGTTATGGTTTTCAAATGTTTAAATGGTTTAAGCCCGGGCTACTTGTCTAGAAGGTGTTTATACAAAACGAAAACTATTCATCACTTGCAATTACAGTCAGGTGATCAGTTATTTTTATTGGTGCCAAAAACAGATTTGATGGTGGCCAATAGGAATTTTGCCGTTGCTGGTCCACAAATTTGGAACTCACTACCATACAGCCTCCGTCAACCTGGTTTAACTATTCAGAAGTTTCGCAAAGATTTGAAAACGTATCTTTTTTCCCGATGATTTCGCCAGACGAAAGCAGCGCCTTTGAGTTGCATTAATTGGCGCTATATAAATTCTCTAATATATATATATATATTATTGATCAAAATCACAGCATGTTCAGCGTTAGTTAACTCCCAATTAATTCAACTTTTCGAATTTTCTAACGGTTGATCGTAAATCATTTTCAAGTTTCCTGAGTTCAAAACCAAAATTTAAATTAATCATTTCGGTTGAAATAAGAAAAATACAAGATAAAAGTGTTTTTCACTGGTAAAATGTTACAAAAGATGGATTAAAAACCAAACAATTAAAAATTAAAAGTATATTTATTTGAATGTTTTATTAAAAATCATTTTCCATTAAATTACATCAATTGCTAATGTCATTGGGCTGGTTTGGTGGCATTTGTCGTTAATGTTTTTGAGGTTATTTTTGTTGTTGTTGTTGTTATTAATGTTATTATGGTTGTTGTTGTTGTTGTCATTAAAGTTATTATAGTTGTTGTTGTTGAAAATTTATTAACGTTATTATGGTTGTTGTTATTAATGTTATTATAGATGTTGTTTTTGTTGATACTTTATTAATGCTGCTGTTTATATCTTAATAATCATTATTGTTGTTATTGATGTTATTGGCGTTCATAGAGCTATCTCCATGGCTGCTAATGTTGTTAATGTTATTTCTATTGACGGTATTTTCATTATTATAATAAATGTCATCATTGTTGTTGTGGTTGTTGTTGCTAATGTTGTTGTTGTTGTTGCTAATGTTGTTGTTGTTGCTGTCAAATTGTAATTCAACATATTGCAGAGGGGGATATACGTTGTCTGATGATTCGTCGTTGTCACTTTTGTTGCTGGTTTTTTTGAGTTTGACTGGTTCAGCGTATATTATATTGATGTTATTGTTGTTGTTGTCGTTGTTTGCACGTGGTTTAGTAAGCTTTTTTCTTTTCCATGGGGGTTGGTAAAATGGGGCAAAGCTATGAAAAAGAAATTCAACTCGTTAAAAAATTTTTTTTCAAAAGTTCTTCGTCACAACCCAACCGGAATCAAATTAAAACTTTTAAAAATCTAATTTATAAAAAGGTTTTTTAAACTCTATTACTACTGATAATACTAGTAGTAGTGCTAAAACTGCTACTATTGTTACTACTCCTGCTGCTGCCACTACCACAACTTCCACTACAATCTACTAACAACGAATACTACTACTATTTTTGATAATAATAATAATTATTATTATAATTATTATTACAATTACTAACCAAAATACTGTTTTCTTTTTTGAAACATACAAAAATACTATCAGAGCCAGAAGAAGCAAAAGCAGAGACAACCCTAAACCTGCACCAAGCCCAACTCTCTTGCCATCAACCATGGGCTTATTATCTTCATTTAGTAGTGAATCGTTTGTTGGATTGCGTGTGTGCTGATGTGGTGTCTGTAAATTTTCCGTCTAGATTATTAAATCAATAATTGTTTAAACTAATGTGAACTTTTTACAATTTTTCTTAACTAATTCTTAGAGGTATCAATAATAACCAGACACTGAACACGTGAATAAGCTTGAATCAACGAATTTCAGACATTGTATATGGAGGTCTATATGTATTCAAACCCAGACACATTAAGCAAATATTATATCATTAATTACGAGAAAAATAACAATTTTTTAATCGAATTTTTAGTTTTAATGATTGAATGTCATATTTATTAGGTTATTCAATGAAAATGCCTAATAATTTTAACTGAAATCTTTAATTTTACCATTATTTTGTAGTGGTGGCGAAGGCGTTGAAACCGTTGAAGATGGTGGAGTGAAGTCTTCATTCTCTGGGTGTTAAATAGTTAAGAGTTAAAACCTACAAAAATTACTATGGTTTAATTGCAAATGAATGTAAATCAATGGCATTTTAGATTTTCAAACTTTAAAAACTTCTAATTGAAAATGAATAATTGGTTATGTCAGCACCTTCCATGCAGATATAATGAAATTCAGTTGAGGAGCAATTGTAGTTCGTTAGACCGTTCTTCACATTTTCAGTTTTGTTGTAAGAACCAACGGCGATACATGAGTTATGAAGTGAATTATTTGGATAGCCAGGCACCCATTTCATGTAAAACATGAAAGTTCCTTCAACATTTTAAAAAATGATTCCATAAGATCAAGTTTTTCAAATTTAAAACTATTTTTAAATTTATTTATAAATGCTAACAAGCAAACAATTTTGCAAATAAAATTTTAAAAAACTGAAATCAATTATTCAAAAACTTCAAAATAACCAGTTTTTCTCCAAGTTATTAGCAAATTGGTTAACCCAACCCAATACATTTTAGTTGGTTGAGATAACTGACTCCAAATATCTTTCATACTCGAGCCTCCACCCAAAATGGCCAGACTACCTCCCAGTTTTCTACACTCCATCTCTCCATCATACCACGTGTAAAGTTCGTTTATAATGAAGTAACAAATGCCTTGATAGAGCGAACTATTTGACCGGCTGCAGTTTGTGGGATCTGATTGTGCGGTGAGGGAAATTTATTAGTAAGTGATGAATTCGATGAATTCTGTTTTTATTTAAACCAGTCATGCACACTTTCGATCATTCCAATAAAATTATAAAATGTACAAAGTCGACAACACGCACTTGATATAGAACACAAAACTTCATGTTTTTTTGTCGGCACATCAGCTACGTATCTCAAATCAGTTTGAAGATTTGAACCAACATTCGTATTACTCATGTATGCAACAGAATTGAATCCATTTAGACTTTGATCGTCAACATTACCACTATCTTTGAAATGGTAATATTAATACTTTTACAGTAAATTTACAGATCCACAAATGATTTTTGTTGAAAATGGTGTTACAAATTGCCAAAATTCTTGACTAAGATCAACAAAATATAAAGTTCAAAAATGAAACTGAAACACTAACATTGATTATTATTTATCCACATCCAACCACTCCTATTCATTTTGGTTCCCAGGAGAAAATTTTTATTCTTCAAATTATTTTTCTCAATGAACCCATCGACCAGTAGCTGAACATCTTCATCGTAGACTTCCAACAACCAACCATTTCTATTGTTACTCTTTCCTGAACATGAATTTTCATCCAATGTTAAGTTACCAGAATTTTTTAAATCATCTACCATGTACAGACAGTACTTATCACTACAGTTACTACTACTACCGTCACTACAATTTATCAAACTTATCAACAAACTCAATATATATATAATTATCAAAATTTTATTTGGCGCCATTGTCTATTTAATTCGTATTCAATTATGATGATTAATTAATTGAATTAATTAATTAATAGATTCATTTAATGAGGAATGATTCAGATGATTATGTGTTGAAATGTCTCGGCGAAAGGTTTATAAATAAGTGGCTAGCTCAATTGCAACGAAATTGAATGTAAAATGTACATTCAGAAGAGTGCAGAACAGAGCATTCAATGAAGATCCTTTGTGTTGTTTTGTGAAATAATTTTCATCATTCAGTATACGTTCTATGCGTCCATACAAACATAAATATAGATTTAGTTTTAGTATAGTATTAGTATTAGTAGAAGTAGTAGTTTAGTTGTAGTAGCAGTAATTGTAGTAGTAGTTGTAGTAGTAGCAGCAGCAGCAGCAGCAGCAGTAGTAGTAGTAGTAGTAGTAGTAGTAGTAGTAGTAGTAGTAGTAGTAGTAGTAGTAGTAGTAGTAGGAGTAGAACTTTGTGTTTCGACAAAAGTAAGCCAACAATGAATCGACAGCCAACTAGTTTTATAACAGGATGTTTTAATCTTCCTTTTTCATAAATTCTTGTCTCATTCGTTCTGTCGTCCATACATATTGTTATAATATTCTCGCTGTCGTAACCGATTTACGATGCGACGGGTTCAAATCTTCGATTGAATAAAATATTCCAAACAGTTATTAAACTTTATTTACAGAAGAAATCAACTATTATTAGTTATTAAACTTTATTTACAGAAAAAATCAACTAATCGTTTATTTCCAGTAAATTCGCACTAACGCAACAATTAACTTTTAAATCTTTCAAAATCTATCGCTATGACAACGTCAACAAACAAATCAAATATCGCTTTAAATAATTCACCGAATCGCTATTCACAAAATCACGAATTTCACTAATCACGAATATCACTAATCACGAATATCACTAATCACGAATATCACTAATCACGAATTTCACTAATCACGAATATCACTAATCACGAATATCACTAATCACGAATATCACCAATCACGAATATCACCAATCACGAATATCACCAATCACGAATATCACTAATCACGATTATCACTAATCAAGAATCTTCTTGCGACGTGCGCTTATATACTCTTCGCAAGCGTCGTTTCTAGATTCTTCCTTATGGTCCGATTCTAGCATACTCTAGAATGCTCCAGTCACTAGAACATTCCAGAATACGCTAGGATCCAGTGCGTTCCGTATCACGGTTATAACAATATATTCATTCGTTTGTTAGTTCATTCATTCATTCGTTCGTTCGTTCATTCATTTATTCATTCATTCACACTTGTGTTCATTCACTGATTATTAATTTTTAATTCATTTATTAATTTGTTATTCATTCGTTCATTCGATTTAACATTTCTGAAGAAAAATTTAGATACAAATTACAGAGGTGAAGTGTCAGAATGGTTAAGTGACTTGCCCTGCTGTGGTTTTGACCGGGTACGAATGCAAAGAGATCCACCTCTTTCAAATGTAACGTGTGCCATAAGTCAACTAACTAACACGCATTAATTATAAATTGACACACCTCACAAATTTAATCAAAAAAGAATTACAAACAATTTAAATAAATTAAATATGGTAGATTTTTGCTATATGTGAATAGGTCTGGATTTGTTTCATTATCTGTAGTTCATTTTCGTATGCTAAATAAAGTCCTAATGTTTTAGTTGGGTGTTTCTTTAACTTTTTCAGAGTCCAACTTTAAATCCTCATTGCTTATATGTTTTCTGTTTTTTTTGAATTTGATTAAAAAATTTAAAAAAATTTAAATAAATAAATAACGAAAAAAAAAAATTTAAAAGTTATGCGCGGATAAAAAGTTGAGCGCTTTAAAATGTTATGCCGGCATTACGTCATGCTATTTGTAAACAAACAACTCTATCGCAATGTTTTCATTTCAAATGCGGCTGACGAATATGGTAGCTAAACCGAGCACCTTTTATGAAGTATAATATTTTAAGTAACTCTCATATACATGTATGTATTTATTGACTGATTTGAATACTAATTAAAATAGATCACGAAATAATTTCGAAGTAACCTTGAGTTTTATTTACATGTATAATATGTATAGTGTATGCTATACTGAAACATGTTAAAATAGATTTTGTGTAAATGGAAAGTGGGAACATTGGAAGTCAGTAGCCGACTTGGAAATGTTCGTCTTCATTGGCGATCTATAATGCTCTTCACCCTTTACATATTTTCGGTGGTGGCTATAAGCATGGAGATGATCGTGAAAATTCTGGGAGCTTTCGACTTGAAAGAAGACTACATCGGTTGTTTCAAAAATGTGAGATCAATAAAGGAAAAAAGAGTAAAAAGTGTTGAAGAATGCGAAAACCTGTGCAAAGCTGAAGAAAATATCAGTCTAATCGCTTTGAAGAATGGTAAGGAGTGCAACTGTATCAACAGGCTTGATGCCGCCCTACCTTCGTCCGATTGTGAGCTTCTTTGCACTAGCAACGAGGCCTGTCGAAACCGAGAAAATTATTCTGTCTACAGGATAGACCAATATACAACACACGACGACGTCTGGGGCGATATTTCTGAATATGAAAATTATTTTATTTTGATTAGTAGTATTAACTTAAATATCTCATACAATCTTCAGAGGTGTGCACATTTCTGTTTAGAGGTCAACGCAACATTTTTCATGGGGCTAGAGCAGAGTCTGTGCAAGTGCTTGTATAACTACCCCGATGTTGTAGCACCGAACAAATCCGAACTACAATGCAATGAGATGTGTAGCGACTTGCCAGGCTCCATTTGCAACTGTCATTATATAAACTCTCAAAATACGAACTTGGTGTACGCATTGCGGTTTCAATACGAGTTTCAAAGAGGAAGATCTACCTACGCACACTGCACGGATGTCTTCACTGACATATGCCATGTGCCACCTTGTAAACATATCGAATTTACTGAAATATCAGACTGCAGAAAAGGTTGCAAAGATGGATGGAAGGGAGAATCGTGTAAGGAGAGGGATTGCACCTCAAACAACGGAGATTGTGGCATTGAAATGAAATGCGTCGAAATCCTGGTAAATAAAAACTTGTACGTAGAATGCGCCTGTCCGTTCGGTACCGTAAGAAACAAGTGGCAGCAGTGCGAAGTTTTCAGGAACAACTTGGCTAACCGGCTCGATTCCTTCCTCAGCTCAACGTACAACATGCCAGGACGTGGTCTTATGAGTGCAGATCGTTTGGCTGATGGCGCCTACGATGGTTACATGATGGCTCATACTAATGATCCGAAAACTGCCTGGGTGGCTGTTGACCTCAGTATGTTTTACTGCGTTGGATTCGTGAGAGCCTACAACAGAATTATGGAAAGTGAAGAAATGTACATGCTTATCAATGAATTTGCTGTTAAGCTCAGTAGAAATTTTGACATAAACACCAAAGCAGGTATGAAAAGTAATGACGAACTTTTTCTTTGCGGATATGGACCTAAAAAAGCACTGCAAGGCGGAAATCCTATGATCGTTTTCTGCCAAAACTTCACTGTGCTGTCTAAGTTTGTCATCATCCATCAGCCAGGAGAACGAGAAGGCAATCTGGCTCTAGCTGAATTGGAAATTTACGAAGTTGGGTGCGACATCCTCAACGGCAGGTGCGGAGAAAAAAAGTGCAACGAAGACAGAGTAAAAAATGGGCCGCTCGTTATAAGATGCACCGACTGGACTGATGTTGCCACGATTAATACGCCATGGTATGGATGCTACGAACAGGTAGAAGCTGAATTTTATTTCCTCGAATATGGACTGACCTATTTGCAGTGTAAGAATGTTTGCGATTCCAGGGACTACCTGCTCTCCGTCATGAAGGCCGGCCTCAAATGTGCCTGTGGAAACATATTGCTAGTTAAAGGCAAGTCGTCAATCGAACTTTGCAAAAAAGGACATTTTACGACTACTCTTGTTTATGTTGAATGCGAGATGGAGAATGAATTCTGTTTCTCATTTGTGGTTTACACAACAGCCTCAAAAGCTCCTACAGCAAACACAGCAGCCAGCATTATGAATAACACCACAACCAATACTGCATTAACAAATAACATCACCGTTTCTAACCTCACCCAAACAACGACAGTAAGCCAAGATGTCTTTGCCAATTTTTATTATATCATCGCGAGTGGCTCGTCAGCGTTGCTGCTACTTGTAGTCGTAGCCGGAGTTGTGATGATAAGAAGAGCCAAGAAGAACCCTTCAACATCAAGTATCGAGAATGTATCGAGAAATGATATAGGCGACAAGGAGGAAGAAGAAATAGAAGCTGAGAAGAGCATTTAATGTCAGCTGAATCAATTTTTTAAAAGTTATAATGGGATGAAGGTTATTGACCAAGAGCGTCTCAAATAAACTTAAAAAATACGTGTTTTAATTATTTCGCTGTTAAATTTTTGCTTTTTGTGGCTTCTTGTGGCGACGGCAATTAAAAAATTTCAATATTTTAATTTTAAAATTTTATGAAAATATTTAATAATTTCATTAAATTTTTTTTAATCATTTTTGATTTGGTGCTTGGGGAATATACATTTTCACAAACCAATGTTAACTTGTTAAATTTCAATTCATAGCCACCAGAAAAATTGATTTTATATAGCATCATATACATGGACTCTGAAACCGAGTTCTGTCTACATTTCAATACACTCCCAATTACTATTTCAGTCACCCGAGCAAGCAAATTATTTATAAGTGCACAAATTAGAATTATTTCAAAATAAATAAAAAATTGAATTCTTAGACGAAACTTAGCTACCTATTGGAGTACAAATGTTTAAGAAAGACCACCTCCCATCATACGCAAGGTGTGTCAATTCGTTGATTCGAGTATCTTTTGCATACACCGTGTGTGTTTTGTTGTTGATAGCTCTAAGAGATATTAATGATTTTAAAAAATGTTTGGATGCTTTCTGACATAAGGTTTCATCTAAGGTCCCCTGTGACTGAAAAAGTGTTTTGTGACTGGCTAATATATTAAATATAATTTTAAATAATATGGTTATAACTTTATTTTGTTGGTACAAATTGATTTATCGGAATAGTCATTCGCAAATTCTTTTTTAGGTTGTAAAATTTTAAAATTTTCAAAATTCAGATTTTAAATATCGTTCCCAGAGATTATAAATAAATCAACCGTCAACAGAAAAGCACAGAGCGTCGATAGAGACCAACTCTACTGTTAAAATTTCACGCAAATATCCTTGAAATACTTGAAATTCGAAGTACTGAATACGAATCTACCCAACTTTGCTTCTCAAATCCAGTTACTACAACATGAGAAACAATCACACCACCCGCTACACTATCTTGCCTCCAAATATTTCGTATTTGAAACGTCATTAGGATTGTTGAGACACATGCTTAAATAACGGAATAAATTTAAAAAAAAATGAATGAATAAATAAATTGAGAAATGAATAAAACACATACACACATTTTAAAACACCACTCGCATAACAGACACACACAGTTATATACATTATAGAAACAGGATGAGATTGTAAATACTAATCCATAAAACATTATATATTCACCATAACATTTATAACAAGCAAACGTATATAATGAAAGCCGCTATAAAAGAATAACTTTACTACTAGTAGCTATGGTTGAAAGAGGAGAAAATGATTAATCTCAGTGCCATATACATATTAAAGTTATAATATACAATATTTTTATTATTAAATTAAAAATATATTTTCAAAGATGGTGCAAAGTGATATCATTTTAATAATTATTATTTTAATATCAAGTTTGTTGATAAGTTTGATAAATTTTAGTGACGGTAGTAGTAGTAACTGTAGTGATAAGTACTGTCTGTACATGGTAGATGATTTAAAAAATTCTGGTAACTTAACATTGGATGAAAATTCATGTTCAGGAAAGAGTAACAATAGAAATGGTTGGTTGTTGGAAGTCTACGATGAAGATGTTCAGCTACTGGTCGATGGGTTCATTGAGAAAAATAATTTGAAGAATAAAAATTTTCTCCTGGGAACCAAAATGAATAGGAGTGGTTGGATGTGGATAAATAATTATCAATGTTAGTGTTTCAGTTTCATTTTTGAACTTTATATTTTGTTGATCTTAGTCAAGAATTTTGGCAATTTGTAACACCATTTTCAACAAAAATCATTTGTGGATCTGTAAATTTACTGTAAAAGTATTAATATTACCATTTCAAAGATAGTGGTAATGTTGACGATCAAAGTCTAAATGGATTCAATTCTGTTGCATACATGAGTAATACGAATGTTGGTTCAAATCTTCAAACTGATTTGAGATACGTAGCTGATGTGCCGACAAAAAAACATGAAGTTTTGTGTTCTATATCAAGTGCGTGTTGTCGACTTTGTACATTTTATAATTTTATTGGAATGATCGAAAGTGTGCATGACTGGTTTAAATAAAAACAGAATTCATCGAATTCATCACTTACTAATAAATTTCCCTCACCGCACAATCAGATCCCACAAACTGCAGCCGGTCAAATAGTTCGCTCTATCAAGGCATTTGTTACTTCATTATAAACGAACTTTACACGTGGTATGATGGAGAGATGGAGTGTAGAAAACTGGGAGGTAGTCTGGCCATTTTGGGTGGAGGCTCGAGTATGAAAGATATTTGGAGTCAGTTATCTCAACCAACTAAAATGTATTGGGTTGGGTTAACCAATTTGCTAATAACTTGGAGAAAAACTGGTTATTTTGAAGTTTTTGAATAATTGATTTCAGTTTTTTAAAATTTTATTTGCAAAATTGTTTGCTTGTTAGCATTTATAAATAAATTTAAAAATAGTTTTAAATTTGAAAAACTTGATCTTATGGAATCATTTTTTAAAATGTTGAAGGAACTTTCATGTTTTACATGAAATGGGTGCCTGGCTATCCAAATAATTCACTTCATAACTCATGTATCGCCGTTGGTTCTTACAACAAAACTGGAAATGTGAAGAACGGTCTAACGAACTACAATTGCTCCTCAACTGAATTTCATTATATCTGCATGGAAGGTGCTGACATAACCAATTATTCATTTTCAATTAGAAGTTTTTAAAGTTTGAAAATCTAAAATGCCATTGATTTACATTCATTTGCAATTAAACCATAGTAATTTTTGTAGGTTTTAACTCTTAACTATTTAACACCCAGAGAATGAAGACTTCACTCCACCATCTTCAACGGTTTCAACTTCAACTCCTTCGCCAACTAATAATGGTAAAATTGACGATTTGTGTTGAAATTATTAGACATTTTTCATTAAATAACATAACAAACATGGCATTAAATCATTAAAACTAAAATTTGATCACACATAAATTACGGCGCAATCTTCAATGTGCCTGGGTTCGAATACTAATAGATCTAGTCTATCTTAAACTCTCTTCAATATTTTTACAAACTTCTTCTCAATTAATTCTAATTATGAATAAAAAAAATTTATGTTTTTTTTTTACCAAAAAATTCCAGTTAAACCAACAAATGCCACTGATCCGATGAGATCGGCAGAAAATGTTTCCACCGAAAGCCAAAGGACAAGCGTAATAATATGCCTTAGCGTTCTATTACCCCTTCTAGCTCTAATAATAACTTTTTCCATTGTCATATTCGCCAGATATAGAATTCTTCACAGGTAAAATAATATTTTCTTCATTATTTAACAAATCTGAATTTGCAAAGCCTTGATTTAAGGGGACATGAGGGACTGCCACTGTCCAGGGTTCTCTACATTAGCGGTTTCCCTTTACTATATATTTGTCTGAATTTTCTTCGGCGTAACCCATATAAGCAAGAACAAGATTACCTACAAATTTGGGAAAAAATAAAAAAAAAGTGCCTTCCTCATTCTAGAAGTAAATAGGGGTTTTAACTTTTTTCTTGCCCCGGGTATTCCAAGCCCCAAAATCCGGTCCATACCCATCTTTTAACCAAACATTAATAAATGTTTTAAATTTATAACGAAATATTTAATACCTTAAAAATGAAATTTTTTCAGAGAGGTGACCATGATGAGAAAACAAGCGAATGATAGGATCGATAGAACTAGTGATGGGAACTACCTATCTCTTCAAGATGTTGGTCAGGTTGATGACGGCAGACCTTACGAAAGTCTTTCAAACGTACATATCTAATGAGAAACATCATTAATAATTAGCTTGGATTAGCTTGTACGCCAGAAACATTTATTTCTTATCTATGGATAGTTTTTCAAATTTTTACACTTGCTCGCTTAGCACAAACTCGGTTCAACTGATAGAAACGATTGAAAAATAGAATTTACAAATTTGAAGTTTTTTTTAACCGTTAATACGATAAACATTGAGTTGGAAAGGCTCACAACTACATTCTTCTGTCAGATTGCATGTGTAAATACACTTGAAACAACACACTTGATCGGTACACCATCCTCTTCTGTCATTCTCATTACATTATATTTTTTAATACTTTTGAAAAAAACTCAGCAGTGTTTATGAAACATTTTATTATCATTAGCAATACTTCGGTTAATAATAAATACATGTCTATTGTAGTAATCGTTAATTTGATGATATATATCTATATATACTTTTTTGATATATAACAATCTATATATATATATCTATCTGAATATCCATATATATATGTATTGGTATATTGTTCTTCTTTTAAATACTCACACCATGAATGTGTAGCTCAAACAAAAGTGCAGTTGCAAACACCACAGCCACTAATATCCGTGTAATAAGAGGTTATGGTACAGTTCGTCTTCTCTCTACCAAGTTCACCGTCTTTGTTACACTTCATAATCAAACTACCACCAGACTGAGAGCTATTAGTTTGGCTCGAGTATGTACCATTGATCAACTTTTTTCCGCCTTTTCCGAAGTCGCTTGCGAGGCTGCTTATGTGGCTGATGTGGCTACTGCTATGGCTACTAGTACTGCTGCTGCTGCTACTGCTGTGTGTAATAGTTTTACTACTGCTGCTACTACTGGTAATGGTTGATCCGGATTTGGTTGAGTTGGATAGGGTGCCGAGTAATTCTTCGCATTTGCATTGCTCAATGTTTGTGTATTTGCAAGCTGGATGGTTAGATGGTTGATTGTTTGGATGGTTGGATGGTCGATTGGAAGGTTGGTTAGTTGGTTGGTTGATTGGTTGGTTGGTTAATTGGTTGGTTGGTTGGTTAGTTGATTGGTTGATTGAATGGTTGTTCGGGATATTATTATGAATTTTATTATGAATTTTATTATGAAATTATATTATGAGTTTTTGTCATAGCAATACCGACCGCATGTGTTGTTGACGCACTGTTGGCCAGTCGGGCACGCCCCAAGTATCAGAGCCTACGAAGGAAGAAAGAATAATAATAATAATATTAAACAACAACAACAATAAAAATAATAATTAATAATAATAATAATAATAATAATTAAATTTATAATAATAAATTGATAAAAATAATAGTAAAAATTCTTTGAAATGTGAATAAAAAATTACAATAATGATAATAACAACAACAACAACAACAACAATAATAACAACAACAACAAAAATAATAACAATAATAATAATAAATAGTAATAATAATAAAAGAAGTTGTCACCGTGAATAAATTGTCGGAGCATACTTGCCTGGCTATCGTCTCGATGCCCATGCTCGATTTCGCAACTAATATTAATAATAATAATAATAATAACAATATAATTATGATGACGGTTATATTATTATTGTCTTCATAATTACTGTTATTATTTGTAATATTATTATTATTATAATTATTTGTATTGTTATTGTTATTATTCAACTGACCACACACGTCTTTCACGCATTCCTGGTCGTCTTGGCACTGGACAATAAATAAATAATAATAATAATAATAATAATAATATTTTTATTATTATTATTATTTATATTATTATCATTATTAATGGGAACAATCTTTTATTCGGCAATAAAAACAAGGAAAATGGCAGTACAAATAAAATAAAATAAAATAAAATAAAACTAAATAATGAAATAAAATAAAATGTCAAATGCAATCAATATGGAAGCTCCTGATAAATAAATGAATATGAGGAGTCCCTGATTATAAAAATGATAATAATAATAACATTAGAATAATAATGATAATAATAATAGAATAATAATAATAATAATAATAGAATAATAAGGATAATAATAATAATAGTATTATCATTAATAGAATAATAATGATAATAATAATAACCTTCATCATGTTATTGGAGCAGTTGGGCTTTGAAGTTGTTGTCGTTAGAGACTTTCCGGTGGTTATACTTGCTAATAATAAGAATAATAATAATAGCATAAATAATAGTAATAATATAATGAATAATAATAATGATAATAATAATATTTCAACACGTCACCAGCATCATCATCAAAACCAACACACCACACCACCACCATCATCATCATTATCATCATCATCATAACCAGCATAAGTAGTCAATTTTTTTTTCTTCTTCCGATTTCGCCTCTTTTTTTTCCCGCCAAATTTTTTCCCGCCATTTTTTTTCTCGCCGCTGCTGCCGCTCTTGCCAAATGCGTCAGAGAAAAGATCGTTGAGAGAGAAAACGGTGGGTGCTGACGTAGTAGTAGTTGTGGTGGCTGTAGTAGCCACATCGCCGACATTTTTTACGGAGCCGGTTCTCGGTTGACTTGCTGGGTGGGGTTGTTATTATTGTTATTATTATTATTATTATTATTAGTAGTAGTAGTAGTAGTAGCAGTAGTAGTAGTAGTAGTGGTAGTAGTAGTAGTAGTAGTAGTAGTAGTAGTAGTAGTAGTAGTAGTAGTAGTAGTAGTAGTGGAACTAGCAGCAATAGCAGTAGTAGTAGTATCATCATCATTTTCATCATTCCCACTCACCCACTCACTCAATCACTCACCTGCACAATCGCATATGCGGCAGCCGTATTCATCACTGTTTGAAGTACCACCATCGTCATCATCATCATCGTCGTCCTCGTCAGCATCATCATCATCATCGTTATTATTATTATTGTTATTGTTGTTGTTGCTAGCGTCACATGCACAGGATATTTTCTTAGTACAGTCAACTTAGTGATGATGGTGATGATTGTGTGGTGGTGATTGTGATGATGGTGATGGTATTGATGATGATGTGATGATGGTTTGAACGATAAAAATAATTTGGTTTAATAACGATAATAATAATAATAATAAAAATAATAAGCTGCCCACCGCATTTCAATTTCTGGCACCTCTCTCCATGAATGCAAGTGCCCTGAGTAATAATAATAATGATAATAATAATAATAATAATAATGAAGATAATAATAATAACTACACATCATCTACATCGTTTCAACAACCTCAACAATAACAACATCATTCCAACAACAACAGCAACGTTACATCATCCTCCCAACAACAACATTATCATTCCAACAACAGCAACAACAACAACAACATTATTCCAACAACAACATCATCATCTCAGCAACAACAACATTCCAACAACAGCAACAACAACAACATCATTCCAACAGCTGCTGTAACAGCAACAAATCACCTGCCCGCACTTTCTCCCAAACTCATCATCGCTTTCTTCATCATCATCATTATTATTTTTATTATAATTATCATTATTATTATAATTATCATTATTATTATTAATATTATTGTCGTTGTTATCATAATCATTTTTACCATCTACATAATCCTGACTATGACTAGCTGAAGTTGTGAAGATGATGTTGTTGATGATGATGATAAGGATCATCATCATCATCATCACCATCATCATTATCAACAACAACAACAACAACATCATCGTCATCATATTCATCATCATCGTCTTCGACATCTTTATCTCAACCATTATCATCATCACAATAATAATCATTATCATCGTCATAATCGCTATCATCGTCATCAGTACTCCCACTACTACGTCATTATCACCACCATCATCATCACTATCATCACCACATCATCATCATCATCATCACTATCATCACCACTTCATCATCATCACTATTATCACCACATCTTCATCATCATTATCATTCTTACCCTCTGATTTAGAAACGCAGACGCCGTTCGTACAGATTTCATTCTCAGGGCACTGGCTCTGCAATAGAGCGTTACATAATTTAATTATAATTAATAATATTTAATTATAATTAATAATAATAATAAATAATAAATTAGTAGTCTTAGTAGTAGAAGTGGTGGTGGTAATAGTTGTTGTAGTAGCAGCAGCAGTAGTAGCAGTAGTAGTAGGAGTAGTAGCAGTAGTAGTAGTAGTGTAGTGTAGCAGTAGTAGTATTATTAGTTTTGTAAATTCTTCAAAAATATCAACAAACCCACACACACACACACACACACACACACACACACACACACACACACACACACACACACACACACGCACACGACACACACAAAGACACACACACACAAAGACACACACACACATACGCACACGAACCGTTCCGCATATTTTTTTCTGGCTCGCTTCCGGGTTACCGATTTTGAGGAAACTTTCAAGAATGATCTTCATTGCCTCACCTTTTGTGGGCTCTGGTTTTGGTGATCATGGTGAATAAAAATTCACGGTGAAATGGAATAGAATTATGTGTGAGTGTGTGTTTATGTGTATGTGTGTGTGTGTGTGAATGTGTATTTTTGTTTGTGTGAATGTATGTTTATGTGTGTGTGGATGTGTGTTTATGTTCGTATGTGAATGTGTGTTTATGTGTGTGTGAATGTGGGTTTATGTGTGTGTGAATGTGTGTTTATGTGTGTGTGAATGTGGGTTTATGTGTGCCTGTGAATGTGTATCCTTGTGTTCGAGGAAGAGAAAGAGATTAAGAGATAATTTTTACTGTGAAATGGTGAAAAATTATGTCTGTGTGTGTTTATGTGTTTGTGTGAGTGTGTATTTTTGTGTGTGTGAGTGTGTACTTTATGTGCGAAAGAGAGAGAGAGAAAGAGAGAGAGAGAGAGAGAGAGAGAGAGAGAAAGAGAGAAGAGAGAGAGAAAGAAAGAAGAAAAAGAAAGACTGTCAGAGTGTTAAGGAGTGTAAAAAACGCTTAAAAAAGTTGATAGCGCCTAGATGATAGCATTGAAAGGCGTGATACAAATAACTTTATTTAAATTTTATGTAAATAATAATGAAATTAATTATTCAAAAAGTAATAATAATAATAACAATAATAATAATATTAATATTTACCGATAAAACAATTCGAAGTCATCATCATCATTATCGTCATCAGCATCATTTTCAACATCAACGGTGATGATGATGATGATGGCAACATTGATGATGATGACGACGAAGACGACGATGATGATGATCTCAGATACAACATCATTTATCTTCTTCCCACCAGGCAAACAGCTGATGTTAATATTGTAATGTCTCTTCAATGATATATATCTAAATATCTTCCAAGGTATCTATATATATCTAACTATTTCTGTCTATACAAGCACCTATCTATAACTATATATCTATGTATTTTTTCTATATCTTACTCATAAATCGATCTATCTTTAGATACCTATAGCTATATCTATATATCTAATTGAAAATTTACATATTTGTATCTATCTATTAATATATCTATATTAATTTGTGTAACTATATTTTCATGCCTGTATATTTATCTAGATTCATTGGTATATATCTTTATTGATATGTGCATTTGTATCTATCCCTTTATCAATATCAACGTATCTCTATCTATATCAGTTCGATATGATCACAATTTGAGTTGTCTATAAGGACGAAGCATGTAACCTAAAACGAGCAAAAAGATATTTAAAAAAAAATAATAAATTTTTCAAATTTAAAATTACCAAATTTTAACTTCATTATTATAAGATTATTAATTAATTAATTAATTAATTAATTTAATTAGCTGTCAGAAGATAATTAATTAATTTAATTAGTTGTTAATATATACTCATATATTATATATATATATATAATATACATTTAAAATCTTTTTCGATCAGACAATAACCATTGTGCTGCAATTTATCCCCGCCTAACATTCTCAAAGATGTGATTATTGGCGTTTAACTGCTTATATACATACATACATACATACATACATATATACAATATACATATATACATACAGAAGAAGAAGAAGAAAAAAAAGAAGAAGAAGAAGAAGAGAAGAAGAAGAAGAGAAGAAGAAGAAGAAGAGAAGGAGAAGAAGAAGAAGAAGAAGAAGAAGAAGAAGAAGAAGAAGAGGAAGAAGAAGAAGAAGAGGAAGAAGAAGAAGAAGAGGAAGTAGTATTAGTAATAGTATGAAGTTTAAGAACCAGCAGGTGTAGATTTACGCACTTATTCAAATTTGCCACTGAAAAATATTCAAATCTGGCAAAATCGTTCTAAAGATAGTAATCAAAACTTTAATGTAGTACTTTAAGTAGCAACAGTAGCAGCAGTAGTGGTAGTAGTAGTAGTAGCAGCAGTTGTAGTAGTAGTAGTAGTAGTAGTAGTGGTAGTATTGGTAGTGGTAGTAGTAGTAGTGATACTTATAGTTGCAGTATTGTGTTTGTTATTTCTGGTATATATATATATTATTACTTAAACTTCACAAAATTGAAATTTCACAATCTATTCAGAAGCTTAAATATGCAGACAGTTGCTGCTTTTGTGGACTTTTAGAACACTCACTCAACATTGACAAGAGTCGAACTTTTTTCAACTCCAAACTCCACTAACCATTCGTACGAAGAAATTATTCCGCGATTTATTAAGATTTTTTTAAAAAATAGCACAAAATATCTATGATTAATGTGCAGATGGTCTCTTATTTTTAAAATTTTATGTCATTTTGACCGTGTTACAATGAAAGGACACTGACATCCTGCTAAAATGAAATAATTTTTCAGAGAATAAAAATTACTTGATCGTTAAATTGTAGAAACATCTTTTGGAGTCTGTGGTTGAGCAAGGACTGCAGATGCGGTTTGAAAAACCATCGCCATTCCATGCTTTCTGGATCTGCATTAGAGCAAGATACCCAGAGTTCACGGACGAAAAGCTCTAACAACTCTTCTCTTATTTCTTTCCATTAATTCACGTAAGATTGATTTTCAATGCGTGATCTCAATAAAGATGAAATACAGAAACTGTTTGAAGTTGGTTGGCCGAAATCGCAATTCGACCAAATTCTAAATATTCGCAATCATTTTGGAAGTCTGAGTAGCATAAATTTTAATGGATCTTTTAAAAGAATGATATTTTATTTTGATGGATTGATGGTGGTCTGCATCATGGATTGATGGAAAGGTGTTGGTGGTGGTTTGCGTCATGCCATTTAGTTTCGGGTTCAACGTGTAAGTTGTTTGGTTCCTACACTGATATTGCATTTAACCAGGTTCGACAGCAGAGAGATGCCCGTCTAGCACATGTGAAATGTTTGGCTTAAGTGACCTGATGATGATGGTGATTGTGATGATGAGGATGATGATGATGATTAAAATGATGATAATGATGATGATGACGATGATGATAGAGATATAATGATGATAACGATGATGATGATGATGACGATTTTATATTGAGTTCGCGTTTGAACCCGGTTGTGTTGAGACGAGAACTCTGCTGGCAGTTTAAAAAGGACTAAGAGCCCGAACTATTGTTATAATAATTATTATTATTTTATTATTATTATTATTAATAGTATTAACATAAATGTTATTGTAGTTATTTTTTTTTGTTAATATTATTTTTGAAATTCATAAAATGGAAATATAAACGAAAAAGAATAATGCTGGCAAAAAATTCAATGGAAAAAAAAAGAAATAACAATAAATCTCTTAAAAAGTTCGGTGATGATGACGATGATGATGAAGACGACTATGACGATGACGATGACGACCGTGACGATGGCGTTGATGACGCTGCTGCGGCTGCTACTTCGGCTGGTGATGATGATGAAGATGGAGATGGTGAGAATGAAAATGATGATGATGATAATGGGGGTGAGTAAGTTAAACGCGAAAGAAAAAAATCTTGATTAAAAGTGAACTGATACAAAAATTAATGATTATCGTTAAGCTTGCAAGTAAAATTATATATATATATATATATATATATATATATATATGATATATATATATATATATATATATATATTTATATATATACACATTAATTTGTATATATATATACATATACATGTATATGTATATATATACATATATATGTATATATATATAAGTAAATGTTATATTTTATACCAATTATCTTCTTAGATTGATTCGTTAATTGATTGACTATTTTCATCATCGTCTTAGATAGCTTGTAAGCAAGTGAAAAATGTATCTAAATAATATGTATATATATGTATATATATATATATATATATATGTATATTATATATGTATACATGTATATATATGTATATATGTATATATATATATATATATATATGTATGTATATAAATATATATATATATCGTTTAAATAGTAAAAAAGTTTTTTAAGAAGGAAGC